TGATGGATCAGTACTATTGATTGCATTGTGTGTATCTGCGCAGTATAAAGCAATTTACTATAATGCCATCATACAAAACTGAAGACCTCGTCAAAAAAAGGCATACTTTTCAGAATACTGAGAATATAGGCTGAGTAGATACATTGATGATTGTCATTTTGAGAGTGCAGTAACTGGCTTTGACAAAAAAATGATACGATGAACCTGACGGTTGAAATAAACAATTAAGACCAATAGTATACCTCAGCAGCAGCACTCTTCTCCTCAATGCTTTTAACTTTTCTCGTTTCAATGCTTCTTGCTCTAATGAAGTTTCTTCGGCCATATTTATTTATAGAGTTTTATATTGACCACGCGCACATAGAAGTAGCCTGGGCCGAGAGTCAACAATACAGAGTGATAAAGAGATGTCAGCAAATGGCAGAAAACGATAACACAAAAATCTAGCTTGTACTATTAATTCGTACGAATAACTATGGCATCTACAGATACTCTAATACTGGTATGTTTCGTCTTATAGATAATTCTAACATTAGTTGCAGAAATATAAATTATATTTTGACCAAGCAAGTGCAATATTTTACTTGGCAACAGGGCAGTATCAACTATTATTGTCGAGCAAGATTTTACACGCACCTACAAAACGTGTGTTTGCAAGGTTTGCAGAAGCACGGAGGTGATCCGGTTTTGACATTTTGGAAAGCATTTGGAATACTGATGGAAGGTTTGTTGTTAAAAATGTAGAGTATTGTCGTTCTCATTCTGCAGTTGTTGCGTTGCATAGTCCATGGCAACAGGTTTTCTCTAGATTTTCTTGTAATTGATTGTCCCATTTTACTAGTACTTTGTCATTTGATGCATTTTGACTGTTTTAAAACTGTCTGTGTATACTGCACCCTTCAAATAAGAAAATTTTCACTTTATTTTGTCTCCTGTCATTTCACATATGAAGCTTTACATTCTGCCAGCAGAATTTATGTCAATTTATAGTGGTTGGTCTCTTATCCATCACTAAACTAGCTTGTGCTTGCTTAAAAGCTCTATTTCTTTGTATTTAAAATGATCCAATGATATTTATTAAAATATACTGTATTGTCAATACTTCATAATGGTTGTTACATTGACTTGCAGATCGTGTGTCAGAAGCCATTAGAGAATTTGAATCCATCCAAGAAAGTGAAGAAGTTGTCCTGTGTTGTTTGATGGCATTAATCTATGCACATAAAAAGGCACAATTAATTGACAAGGAAAGTGTACATGAATTGGAAACAAGATTGAAAAAGATTCGAACAAGTGTTGGTGAGAATGCGCTATACTTTGCTGCAATGTTTTTGTGGCACACAGTACGTCATGAAAAAGCAAGAGAATATGTTGACAGAATGTTGAAAATGTCCAATGGTTCGAAAGAGGTTTTCTAAACACTGGAATTTTTTAATAAAGTAAGGAATTTTTTAATAAAGTAAGGAATGCGCTGGAATTTTTTAATAAAGTAAGTTGTTTATTGTGAAATATCGATGGAAGTGGAGTCAATAATTCAAACAAGACCTGGTATGATTGTGCAAGGACAAACAATGCAATTGCAAGTGAAGGCATCCACCAGCCCTGTTGCATATGAGAAACTTAAGAATATTCTTCTCAAAGAGTAAGTTTTGCATTGAGAGAAGAGCATTTTTGTGTAATTTTCATTTGTTTTTTTATCATATCAAAATGTACAACTAGTAAATCTCCACGAATGCTTTCATACGAACTACCATGTATTCAGATCTTTTTGTTAACATTATGATACTGAAGCGGAATGCAATAGTTAATTTATACCTGTAAAATTGGCCTGTGTTTTTTACATAGGCGTCGTCAAACGTGTCGCAGCGATTTAGAAGTAAGCACAAAGTTGAATACTGCGTGATATAAAGCGCTCTCAAAGACCAGCGGAGAGTTTTTCAAAATAACTTGCACTCCTAACTTGATTTTGTATCTACGAAAAAGTTATTTCTGTTACCTACTGTCTATGTTTTCCTCACTTTCCTTCCCTACGCTCCTGCATATTATTGTCTACGTATATATTAGCGTATATTTCTATTGAGAAAGCAGTTATCTTATATTTATCTCCATTAACCATGCATTTTCTTTTAAGAAAAGTGCTGGTAATTGAAAAATAGATTGATTGCAAACTATGTAGGTTAATATCATACTGTAGCTACGTACTTTTTGCAATTAAAAAACAGGTCTTTTTCCTCATCAACGTTTTCGTTCATGGTGGCTAGATTAGTCTACTGTATGGTAATACTAAAGATGAATATGTTCAGTTGCGTAGCCAGCCTACAGATTAACTTTTATGTGTAAATTTCAGAAGTTTACCGTTATTCAATTCTTTGAAATTTGTTGTTCTCACGGTCCCGTGCATAATTGCATAGTGGCAATATTTTATGTTATATATTTCTTTCGTCCGACAGACATTACTGACTATCTAGTTAGATTATTCCATCCATTTGAGATATTCGTTTGTATGTTTTAGTGAAGATATCGTTCATGCCTTTCGGAAACAGGAGAAATTGTCAATGCTGCATCTGCATAAGTGATCGAGTTCTGAAGGAGCAACGAAAGACTCTTTGAGGTTCATAAATTTGTTCGAACTTGGAATAATACCGTGTTAAATTCATGGCGTGGAAGGCCGACGGAAGTTATTGAGGTACGTTCATATCATGTTAGGGATGTTGAACATGATTGTGACAAGATTTCTTTGCATGATATAAGGTGTATAACGTATATTAATGAAGATATGATCTTCGCATGAGACAATTGCTTAAATTGTCCAACAAAGTGCGAAGATCATATCTTCATTTAATCAAACACCGCACTGCATAAAAACATTCAAATACGTATATTACTCACAAATATTAAACCAAAAGTCTTATTATACCTCGAGCATATACCTCAACCTCAGCACACCACCATTTTTATACAGCGTAAAATTTCAACTTTACTGGATGACGAAAAGTTAAATAGGAAACAGAAAGGAGAAAATGAAATTGTACATAATTATACAGTCCAGCTTCATACAGCCGTTGTCACTGTGACGCTCTTGTCACATCGGCTTTGTCATCTCAGTTTTTGGTCAAGAATATTCGTGTGAAAGTTCAATCTGATCCTCGTCATCTTGTCCAGTGGAGATTATTCGTCATCCACTACAACCTCCCTCCCCTCCCTCACCGCACTGTATTTCAAGGATGCAAGATGTAATATAAATGCCATGTATCATCAATTGAAAATAAGTCTCCAGGGAAGTGTTTTCATCAATATGCTATTAATATGCTTTTAAAAATGATCCAAAATTCATTCAGCAGCCTGTTTGACTGAGAAACCTGAAGAAACATGGAAATTAACTGACATTTTTCTATGTACATTTTTTAGAAACAACTTAGATTAATACCTGGATGGTAGAATTAGAACAGTTCACGAAGTCAATCTGCACAACTAATGGTTTATTAATGGTTGATTGCCGAAATATCAGAGATAGCATCGTTCCGAAACTTGGTTCCATTTTTCGACAACTTTCCAAGATGGTTGCAAAGGATCTTATGAGGATGTCGAAGAAGTTCATTGACGAGGCTCAACAGCTTGTTAAGGTAATACGTTTTATCAACATGCCATTTTTACTGCGGAAGTACTGTTTGCAGTGTAATATTTGATAAAGTTTCCGTTACTCAACATTCAGCAACATTGTAGCAACTTAGCTATAACATCGTGTAAGCCCGTTATCGGAAACATCACAAAAACTTACAATATCACTTATGTAACCCAACGTAGAGCAACATTACATTATACAACATTACGTAACCCAACATACAGCAATATCATAACATCTTAAAATATTACATAACCCAACATTACGCAAAATAGCAGCTTGCAACATCACGTAACTACGCATTTGGCAAAAACTAAGTAATATTAGTAATATTAGAACATTACTCACTAAACAGATCACAACAATTACCGACACCTTACAAACGACTTATTCACAACCTCAAACGAACGAGCAATTTATTTACTTGAGCCTATTCTACGATGACAATACACAATTGATGCCCCCACACCGACACATTTCCTCTACACGCAATGACACATGAACTCTGAAGATGACTACCGCTCAGTCAACATCAACACCAGCTGTCCTGCTAAAAACTCTACTAGCCTGGATGATCTACAACTAAAAACACGTAACTAAATAACATTGATAACTAAATAACAAGTTATGACATGCGTAGATGTTCCATGATTCGTTAGTCGCGGAAATTACGTAGCATTTTTAGTAGTTGCGTTGTTAGCCCGCAATGTTTGGTCCTGCTATGTAAATTTTAGATCATTAGCGTTATTTATTTGTTTATAAATTTATTGTTTTTATGCTGAGGAAACATCGAATCATTTAACCCTTCATCCGACACGAAATGAAACTCAATTGTTCAAAAATTTGCCGGAATTTACCTTAGTATAATATTTTTTTAGCAACTGTCCGATAGGCGTACCGATTTAGAGAATTTTGCCAATTTCATCAAAGTTCATGGTAAAATAAAAAAAGAAAGTGTCATTTCTACAAGTTGAGGTCGAATATATGAAAAGCATTTTTGAGGTATTATAATAGGTTTCATGCCAATATTTTTGTGAAATTATAAAAATATTTGACTATTACAAAAATGATATTTTACTTATAGTAATATTACTATGTTCAGATGATTCGTGCTAGCCAGCGACCTTTGTCTGAAAAAGAGAAAGAAATTGAAGATGCTGTATGTAGATTGCATAAATCTCATCTGAGTTATTTCATCAAATTAATAATGCTTGTTTATTTTATCATATTTTTTTCCTATCAGACTTGCTTATCTTGGGAACAATTACTTTTTTTGTCTTGAAGAAGCTTCCAACTTCTTGGTCTATAAAATTCCTGAAATAATTCGTGACCTTGATGATAAGATTATGGTAAAATATTTTGGCATATTTACACTATTTTTAAAACGAAAACGATAAAACAGTATATGTGATGTGATAAGTTTGTCAATACATAGTTATTCCATACAGAGGAGTAACTAGAACGTTAATTGAGGTGTGTGGGGGCATATTCTTATAAAATCCGTTGTGCCTTACTGATTTCTTTTGAGAGTGAATTGAATTTCAAAAGAAATCGGTAGGGCGCAACTGAATATATGAATATACACCTCCCCCAATTAACATTCTAGTTACACCTCTGATTCCATGACGTAACGTGGTGATGTGAAGGGATACGATAATTTTCTAAGTCTAGGTTAACAAATTTTTTTTTGTTTTAAACTATGTGTATTATATTCGATTGTATAAAGTTTTGTCATTTCGTTTAACTTATTGCCCAGTAATATCTCACATCATATTGTGCATAGAAACAAACTGTAATAATAACATAGAAAAGGATTTAATAATCATAAATAATTCACAAACTTACATAATGTTCAATAACAATACCGTCTATGTATCAGGAGAGGACATCTTGCTCATCTCTGTTTATTGAATGTGTTCTTTTTAGTCTGTTGAGCATCAAGCTCGTGTTGTTGGTAAAAGGGCAACAAGCGGAGAGTTCTTGATTTCTGAGAACAATTTCTCGTTGATGATGTCAAGTTTAATGAAGGTAAAGATTGCCGTTCATGATTTTCATGTCTACTGAACTCACGAACTGTTTTCACGGAACTCTCGAATTCTCGCGAGAGAAAAGAATTCACAATTATGGCACAGTGAACGTGTTTTCGGAGAATTCTTTCCGGAAGAAAAGAATTCACAATTTCAGCTTAGTTTTATCGTAGATTTCTTGCTAGAGGGAGAGAATTCACATTTAAGAATATTTTGAAACTGTCGAACATGTCTTCGGTAGTCAAATTCAACTTTTTTCGCTTTAGCTTCGGAGAACATTTAGAGGTTATATGAATGATTTGGACGAACTCGTGGAATACAGAGAACGTACGTTATGAGTTGTGGAAGTATTATGAAGTGTGCGGCGAGAAAATCGAACATTGGCTTCAAACACCATTTTTTAAGGTAAAGCACCGTGACTGAGCGCATAGCATGATGTGAGAATGATATCATTGCGCTTTTAGCCTATGAGTAATACAATATGAACCGCTCTAGGGAAGTCACCAAATTACACAAATGCGGACATGACAGAATTGAAAATGTAACTGTGTTAGAACATAATATCAGAGCAGTCGCGAATGGTGGATCATGGGTGCGAGATGCACCCAATCATCGTTTTGTCGGCAAAATTGGTCATCTATCGGTATATTTTCACTTAATGCTAAGTCCAAACCAAGACCATACCACGCCCACTTTGCCGACAAATTTGACGCTTCGACCCCCCGTAAAACATAGAAATGACTAGGTACCATAGCTATCCACTGGGTAGATTTGAACTGTGCATTCACTGAAATAAAATATTGTTTCGAGGACTACAAAATTTCTTTGTCTTAAAAATATAAACATCTTTTTACAAGTGTAAAATTTTTTCATCCAATGGATAACGCTATCGAGGCCGGCTTCGTGCAACCGGCCCCTGATCTTTTCTAACTATTTTAGCAGCTAATAAGTAAAAACGGCTTATTAATTAATTTCATTTTATGTAAGTAAACGATCGTGAGATGAATATATAGTATGATGGATAATGACGTAGAAATGAATCGTATGAAATTAAGATAAAGAGACTGAAAAAGTAAAAGAATAATCAGAAGATAGATCTTCATATGGCAAGTTTATATTCGTTTTCCTTTAGTTTAGGATGGGCTATTTCATGGCTGATCCCTATGTTTTCTCTATATCATACGTCTCTACTATCTTGAAGTTGTCTTTCAGCTGACAATATTATTATTAAAAGATTAAAACTTTCATGGTCTTGCGCACTAGAGGGCGTCGGAAATGAATGATTATGATGTGAAATTGATCTGCATATCGCCCTGTAAGAAACTCAGTTTGTGTCTTGTTAGCAACTTACATGAGTAAAAAGATGCTGAATATTCACACTTTCATCACAATTGACTACATATAAAGTATTTCGTATTTTGTAGACAAACATTAAGAAAGTACTTGAAAAGATGAGCGAATGGCAGTTGGCTGCTGAAAATCTAAAATCTCTCTTGCCTGACCATGATGAAGTTTATGAAGCATGGATAAGGAAAATGGAAGCATTCACAAAAGATTTTCCTCTCTTGCAATTACTTTCCAGTGATGCGTTGAAGGTTGGTGAAAGGTGATATCATTTGATTTATTCTTTCTGTTGGCGGATACATGTGTTATATGTGTATACTATCGGGGGATACATATGTATTTATGTTTATACTATCGGTGGTTGTACATGATAATACATAATCATGTAAATTATACTTATTATTGTTATATATTTAAATATATTATTAGTTAACCAATTAGTAAAATGCCTTACTCATACATGCATGTGTATGTTAACCACAATAACAGGAAAAGCTTACGTATAGGACGTGGTCAACCTACTGACCACAAACAACGTACAGGATACATGGTTAATCAACTGACCACAGTTTGCGCACAAGCGGTTAATCGTACGTCATTGTGCAATCACATATAAGCCGAGAATCGAAAGTTGTAGTTATGTTGGTGCTTAGTAGAAGTCCACATCAGAAGAAAGCTCATGTAAAAGAAGACGAACTATTTAAGAAAAGAATCAAAGAATCCAGATATATATCCTATCCATCAACGAAAGAGTCACCGAAAGTCTGAAAGCAGTTGTCTAGATAAGTTTGAACATTTAAACATTTATATTATAACGATTTTATCAAAATTATTAGTATATTAAATAAATATTTAAGAATTGACAACAACTTATCCACAAGGTTTTACTCCTTTTGTTACGAGCAATTGAACCAAAAGCGGCCATTTATTATTAGTCGGGACGTTCGTAACAAAATTGGGGGCCCACCCGGGAAAGAACTCTTTCAAGTTATTCAATTGAACAGAAGTCAGAACGAAAAAGAAAATAGAATCCAAAACAAATCGAAATCATTTCAACAACAAAATTTCACATCAATATTTTATAAACAACAAAAAGAGAAAAATCATTTATTAAAGTAAACTTGTGGACCAGTTGTTTCAACATGTCTGCATTTACACCAGAAGAGTTTATGGTGGAACCAACATATGAGAATATTCTGAAATTAAGAAAACATGATCTAAAAGCTTTAGGGAAATATCTTAAGGTCGAATTAAAAAGTTCAATGTCTAAACGCGAAATACAGCATGTAATTTTAAAAAGATTATGCAACGATAAACTCGTTGATGAAGCAGTTTTAGAAAACGAAAGTATTTTCATGCAAAATACAAGAGGTGAAGTAGATAGCATTGCTCAAACAGATGTTAGTCAGGAAGAGTCAGACGAAAGACAATGGCAAAGAGAGGAAGAAGAAATAAGGTGGAGAAGAGAACGCGAAAGACTTGAATGGGAGCGTGAATGTGCACGCGAAGAGAGAGCGTTTAAGTTAAGAGAACAGGAGATAGAACTAGAAAAATTAAAACTTCAAGCCAAAAATACACATGCTGAACATTCTAAAACAAATTTTGACATAACCAAGCATGTAAGAATGGTTCCACCGTTCCCGGAATCGGAAGTAGACAAGTACTTTTTGCATTTTGAAAAAGTCGCCGAAAATTGTAAATGGCCCAAAGAAAGTTGGACCATGCTTTACAAAGCGTTTTAATAGGAAAAGCTAGAGAAATTTTTTCTCAAATGTCTGTAATTGATTCTGCGGATTATGACTTAGTAAAAGATGCGATCCTGAAGGGTTATGAGTTGGTCCCCGAAGCCTACAGACAAAAATTTCGTGCTATTAGCAAAAATATATCTATAACTCACTTAGAATTTGCTGAACAAAAAGCTCAACTTTTCGATGGATGGTTAGCTTCGGAAAAAGTCCAAGATTTTAAAACTTTGCGGCAGTTAATTTTAATGGAAGAATTCAAAAATTGTATCCACTCTGAAACACGAATTTTCCTTAACGAGCAAAATCAAACGAACATTGATGAGAACGCAGTTAATTTTAATGGAAGAATTCAAAAATTGTATCCACTCTGAAACACGAATTTTCCTTAACGAGCAAAATCAAACGAACATTGATGTTGATGAATTGAAAAATATTTCTTTTGAAGACGAAGGTTCATTAGTGATAACTGTTGCAGGCAATTGGTACATTGGTAGATTGTATTGTTTTGTGTGTTGAATGGTTTGATGGTTACTGAATACAGCATGACAAGTGTTTGAGAGATGTGTAAGAAGTCTATTACGGACTTTAAGTTGTAAATCAGGTGTATCCATAAGATATTTGTTGATTTCCATAGCGCTGTGATTGAAACCTGCTCTGTAATGAGCCAAAGCAACAGGATCTGTTATGGTTGATTGCTAAAGAAAACGAAATTATACTAAACAGATAATCTCCAATGGATGTCTAGTTATGAAACAATTTGTGTCATCACTATCTCTTTAATTTTTTTATTTAACGAAGATTTTCTATTGCCACGGATTTAAGCTGTTAAAATGTTCATGACAATAGAGGTCAAGTTCAAATGTTCTTTGTACTATGAACAATTATGTTTTTGCCCAAAATTCTTTTGAGCATTTTGTTGTTGGTAAAAACGGCTTTTGTTGTTGGTAAAAACGATTTTCGAAAAATGTCGCACTGGTGCCACTCTGACTGAATAAAAAAATATTTGAAAATTTCTTCGTTGTGGTTACTAATTATGTTGTGCAAGTGAAATAATAGAAAAGACAGTAATCTTGTTTTAATCTGTAAATTAAACTAATTAAAAGAAAATGTTTTTACCTTTTACTTGTTGCATTCGGATGGATTTTAAATACTGCACGGTCATTTCTAGTATGTCAGCTTTTTCTAACTTTGAGCAGCAAGCCGTCTAAATGTCATTTATAGCTATAAGTTAGTCTCACATGTTTTATTGAGTTGTTGGAGTTATTGTAGAAGGAAACTAAAACGATTTTATGCAGAAATTTAGTGTCTAACAGCAGGCGATAAATTCTTTAACAAGTGCTTTGTCAACAATTAATGCATCTAACTGCTGCATAAATTACATTTGCCAAATGAAATTGTATACTTTGCAATAAGCTCAGCTTGAATTTTTTGATATTATGTTGATTTGTTTTTAAAGTACCATCCTATGAATTCCTTTTCATGAGAAGTAATTGGATTACGAGATTCATAATTTTAATTTCCGTGAGCCAAATTTTTCTTGACTGTCTTATCCCATCACAAATGTAGTTGACAATTTTTAATTATTCTTCTAGTAAAACGAAGATATGAAAGAAGAACAGTTTGGAGGCTATAAATCTATCTATTTAAAGAAATCCAACCGACTTAACGTTTCCTCTTCTATACAAACACAAGGTTGGTAATTGTCGTTATATAAACCATTGGATAAGGTCATTGATTTAACTTCACTTACAAAATCAACATGGTACTAATCCTGCTGCATAAACACCGTAAATAAATAAAAAGATAAATGATTGATGAATCAATTTATGATCATCGCCAATGATCAGACATGTACAAAACTGAAGTAATCACGCATTGAATTTATCCATCTCACTCCATACAACCGTATTACTACAACATAACATAACTTACATCTCTTTTCCTTGATTCTTAAAGCAAATTTTTCAGTTCGTTCAAACTGTTATTTATTCTCTCGCGTCTTCTTTTTTTCATAACTGGTTTGGACGACTATAAATACAAAAATGCACGAATTTAAATACTTCAAGTATTGTGACAGAAATCTATTATATGTTATTGATTTAAGAAATCATCACTATCACTGAAATGCACCCCCCGGCCATTCAAAGCTTAAGCAATGTATATATATGAACGATTTACCATGGATGCATGTGATATATCTTTATAGTTTTTGTATCATTGTTGATTTTGTTTTATTTAGGCTGTAAAGTATTTCATATAAAAGCAATCAATTATATGTAGATACATAAAAATCATACGAATTGATAATTCGATATGTAGGTACTAGATTTTAATATTTCGCTTATTTGTGTCCTCAATATGAATCTTGTGTGCATAATTATAATGTCCTTAAGTGAGAAACGTGTTGAAAAACTCCAATTAACATTAACAAGTGCATGGCATGGACAATATTTAAAATCCTGAAAGTCTATCGTCAAGTGATAAAAATACTTTCAAAATGATAATTGGTAAAGTAATCGCACTTTTAAGTAAATATGTTAGGATTCAAAGCGAGATACCAACGAATATAACATTGTATAGTGTTTTGAAATGTCGACAAAAACTTTTCGTCGCAAATTTCTGATTGTTTGGCGGTTTCTGTGCAATATACGTATTATATAGCTTTTCATACATCGTACCAATAATATAAACACAAGTTATTTTGCAAGTAATTATATGCTAGCTTATTTCTACCAAACGTGAACCCAAGCGATTTATCATTAACTATAACCCGATAATTTCATTTCTAAACTTTTGCGCTTTCTGCTAATATATTTATATATAATTATTAAACGAAGCATGGTGTCACATAATTTAAAGTAAATTCTTTCTTAATTCTAATTTTGTGCCACCTCCAGATCTTTCAAGTATTATGGAGGATATAAAATACTATATAATTGTGAAGTTTGAAAATATCCGAGTGAATAGATCCAGAGTTATGACTAATTTTCTAAACTTTTGCGCTTTCTGCTAATATATTTATATATAAGTATTAAGCGAAGCGTAGTGTCACATTATTTAAAGTAAATTCTTTCTTAATTCTAATTTTGTGCCACCTCTAGATGTTTTAAGTATTATGAAGGATATAAAATACTATAGAATTGTAAAGTTTGAAAATATCCGAGTGAATAGATCCAGAGTTATGACTAATTTTCTAATTTTTTGCGATTTCTGCTAATATATTCATATATAATATTAAGCCGAGCATGGCGTCCGTGTCTTTAAAGTAAATTTTTTCTCATTTATAAGTTTTTGCTACCACCAGATCTTTGATATATTATAGAGGATATAAAATACTATAGAATTCTGAAGTTTAAAAACGTTGGACGTAATAGATCAAGAATTATGACTAATTTTTTAAATTTTGAGGTTTTCCCCTAATATATTTATGTATAAGTATTAAGCCAAGCATGTCTTCACATAAGTTTAAAGTAAATTTTTTCTTGTTTCTAAGTTTGTGCTACCTCCATATCTTTGAAATAATGTAGAGGAGATAAAATCCTTTAAAATTGTGAAATTTGAAAATATCCAAGTAAGTAGATCAAGAGTTATGAGTAATTTTCTAAATTTTTGCGCTTTCCGCTAATATATTTATATATAATTATTAAGCGAAGCATGGTGTCACATAATTTAAAGTAAATTCTTTCTTAATTTCAGTTTTGCCACCTCCAAATCTTTCAGATATTATGGAGGATATAATATACTATAGAATTGTGAAGTTTGAAAATATCCGAGTGAATACATCCAGAGTTATGACTAATTTTCTAAACTTTTGCGCTTTCTGCTAATATATTTATATATAATTATTAAGTGAAGCATGGTGTCACATAATTTAAAGTAAATTCTTTCTTAATTCTAAGTTTGTGCCACCTCCAAATCTTTCAGATATTGTGCCACCTCCAAATCTTTCAGATCTTTCAGATACATTTTGATATGATAAAAAAACAAATGAAAATTACACAAAAATGCTCTTCTCTCAATGCAAAACTTACTCTTTGAGAAGAATATTCTTAAGTTTCTCATATGCAACAGGGCTGGTGGATGCCTTCACTTGCAATTGCATTGTTTGTCCTTGCACAATCATACCAGGTCTTGTTTGAATTATTGACTCCACTTCCATCGATATTTCACAATAAACAACTTACTTTATTAAAAATTCCAGCATTCCTTACTTTATTAAAAAATTCCTTACTTTATTAAAAAATTCCAGTGTTTAGAAAACCTCTTTTGAACCATTGGACATTTTCAACATTCTGTCAACATATTCTCTTGCTTTTTCATGATGCCCTGTGTGCCACAAAAACATTGCAGCAAAGTATAACGCATTCTCACCAACACTTGTTCGAATCTTTTTCAATCTTGTTTCCAATTCATGTACACTTTCCTTGTCAATTAATTGTGCCTTTTATGTGCATAGATTAATGCCATCAAACAACACAGGACAACTTCTTCACTTTCTTGGATGGATTCAAATTCTCTAATGGCTTCTGACACACGATCTGCAAGTCAATGTAACAACCATTATGAAGTATTGACAATACAGTATATTTTAATAAATATCATTGGATCATTTTAAATACAAAGAAATAGAGCTTTTAAGCAAGCACAAGCTAGTTTAGTGATGGATAAGAGACCAACCACTATAAATTGACATAAATTCTGCTGGCAGAATGTAAAGCTTCATATGTGAAATGACAGGAGACAAAATAAAGTGAAAATTTTCTTATTTGAAGGGTGCAGTATACACAGACAGTTTTAAAACAGTCAAAATGCATCAAATGACAAAGTACTAGTAAAAATGGGACAATCAATTACAAGAAAATCTAGAGAAAACCTGTTGCCATGGACTATGCAACGCAACAACTGCAGAATGAGAACGACAATACTCTACATTTTTAACAACAAACCTTCCATCAGTATTCCAAATGCTTTCCAAAATGTCAAAACCGGATCACCTCCGTGCTTCTGCAAACCTTGCAAACACACGTTTTGTAGGTGCGTGTAAAATCTTGCTCGACAATAATAGTTGATACTGCCCTGTTGCCAAGTAAAATATTGCACTTGCTTGAGTCAAAATATAATTTATATTTCTGCAACTAATGTTAGAATTATCTATAAGACGAAACATACCAGTATTAGAGTATCTGTAGATGCCATAGTTATTCGTACGAATTAATAGTACAAGCTAGATTTTTGTGTTATCGTTTTCTGCCATTTGCTGACATCTCTTTATCACTCTGTATTGTTGACTCTCGGCCCAGGCTACTTCTATGTGCGCGTGGTCAATATAAAACTCTATAAATAAATATGGCCGAAGAAACTTCATTAGAGCAAGAAGCATTGAAACGGCGAGAAAAGTTAAAAGCATTGAGGGAGAAGAGTGCTGCTGCTGAGGTATACTATTGTCTTAATTGTTTATTTCAACCGTCAGGTTCATCGTATCATTTTTTTGTCAAAGCCAGTTACTGCACTCGCAAAATGACAATCATCAATGTATCTACTTAGCCTATATTCTCAGTATTCTGAAAAGTATGCCTTTTTTTGACGAGATCTTCAGTTTTGTATGATGGCATTATAGTAAATTGCTTTATACTGCGCAGATACACACAATGCAATCAATAGTACTGATCCATCAGTAATCATGAAATTCAATATAAAATTATAAATGTTGGTTTGGTTACGCAATGAATGAATGAATGAAAATCTTTATTTTGACACGCTGGCCTTGTCATTACAAAACGTGTGTTTGCAAGGTTTGCAGAAGCACGGAGGTGATCCGGTTTTGACATTTTGGAAAGCATTTGAAATACTGATGGAAGGTTTGTTGTTAAAAATGTAGAGTATTGTCGTTCTCATTCTGCAGTTGTTGCGTTGCATAGTCCATGGCAACAGGTTTTCTCTAGATTTTCTTGTAATTGATTGTCCCATTTTTACTAGTACTTTGTCATTTGATGCATTTTGACTGTTTTAAAACTGTCTGTGTATACTGCACCCTTCAAATAAGAAAATTTTCACTTTATTTTGTCTCCTGTCATTTCACATATGAAGCTTTACATTCTGCCAGCAGAATTTATGTCAATTTATAGTGGTTGGTCTCTTATCCATCACTAAACTAGCTTGTGCTTGCTTAAAAGCTCTATTTCTTTGTATTTAAAATGATCCAATGATATTTATTAAAATATACTGTATTGTCAATACTTCATAATGGTTGTTACATTGACTTGCAGATCGTGTGTCAGAAGCCATTAGAGAATTTGAATCCATCCAAGAAAGTGAAGAAGTTGTCCTGTGTTGTTTGATGGCATTAATCTATGCACATAAAAAGGCACAATTAATTGACAAGGAAAGTGTACATGAATTGGAAACAAGATTGAAAAAGATTCGAACAAGTGTTGGTGAGAATGCGCTATACTTTGCTGCAATGTTTTTGTGGCACACAGTACGTCATGAAAAGCAAGAGAATATGTTGACAGAATGTTGAAAATGTCCAATGGTTCAAAGAGGTTTTCTAAACACTGAATTTTTAATAAAGGAATTTTTATAAAGTAAGGAATGCTGGAATTTTTAATAAAGTAAGTTGTTTATTGGGAAATATCGATGGAAGTGGAGTCAATAATTCAAACAAGACCTGGTATGATTGTGCAAGGACAAACAATGCAATTGCAAGTGAAGGCATCCACCAGCCCTGTTGCATATGAGAAACTTAAGAATATTCTTCTCAAAGAGTAAGTTTTGCATTGAGAGAAGAGCATTTTGTGTAATTTTCATTTGTTTTTTTATCATATCAAAATGTACAACAAGTAAATCTCCACGAATGCTTTCATACGAACTAACCATGTATCAGATCTTTTTGTTAACATTATGATACTGAAGCGGAATGCAATAGTTAATTTATACCTGTAAAATTGGCCTGTGTTTTTTACATAGGCGTCGTCAAACGTGTCGCAGCGATTTAGAAGTAAGCACAAAGTTGAATACTGCGTGATATAAAGCGCTCTCAAAGACCAGCGGAGAGTTTTTCAAAATAACTTGCACTCCTAACTTGATTTTGTATCTACGAAAAAGTTATTTCTGTTACCTACTGTCTATGTTTTCCTCACTTTCCTTCCCTACGCTCCTGCATATTATTGTCTACGTATATATTAGCGTATATTTCTATTGAGAAAGCAGTTATCTTATATTTATCTCCATTAACCATGCATTTTCTTTTAAGAAAAGTGCTGGTAATTGAAAAATAGATTGATTGCAAACTATGTAGGTTAATATCATACTGTACTTTTGCAATTACAGGTTTTTCCTCATCAACGTTTTCGTTCATGGTGGCTAGATTAGTCTACTGTATGGTAATACTAAAGATGAATATGTTCAGTTGCGTAGCCAGCCTACAGATTAACTTTTATGTGTAAATTTCAGAAGTTTACCATTATTCAATTCTTTGAAATTTGTTGTTCTCACGGTCCCGTGCATAATTGCATAGTGGCAATATTTTATGTTATATATTTCTTTCGTCCGACAAACATTACTGACTATCTAGTTAGATTATTCCATCCATTTGATATATTCATTTGTGTGTTTTAGTGAAGATATCGTTCATGCCTTTCGGAAACAGGAGGAAATTGTCAATGCTGCATCTGCAGAAGTGATCGAGTTCTGAAGGAGCAACGAAAGACTCTTTGAGGTTCATAAATTTGTTCGAACTTGGAATAATACCGTGTTAAATTCATGGCGTGGAAGGCCGACGGAAGTTATTGAGGTACGTTCATATCATGTTAGGACATGTTGAACATGATTGTGACAAGATTTCTTTGCATGATATAAGGTGTATAACAATACGTATATTAAATGAAGATATGATCTTCGCATGAGACAATTGCTTAAATTGTCCAACAAAGTGCGAAGATCATATCTTCATTTAATTTCAAACACCGCACTGCATAAAAACATTCATATAACATTCATTTCACGAGAAAACATGAGCCCAACAAAATTGACCTGCTCACCACTGTGTGACTTCATAGCTCAGTTGGTCAGATTACTGCACTGGCACCGCAGAGGTCATGGGTTCGATTCCCGTTGAGTCACCTGATTTTTTCAGGTTTATGAGACAATTGCTTAAATTGTCCAACAAAGTGCGAAGATCATATCTTCATTTAATTTCAAACACCGCACTGCATAAAAACATTCAAATACGTATATTACTCACAAATATTAAACCAAAAGT